GTATGATAGATAACACTATTTGCTCAAATATTTCAGAATTTTCATAGTGTTTAAATTATCTGAAAGAATTGTTTTAATTTCATATGGTATTTAGGTGGGGTAAATTCTGCATTTTTCAAGGCAGCTTTGACAACGACAAAAACCTCATTTGGAAAAAATTCTGTCAATAAATATTTCTAAATTTACGATTGAATGTCAGTCCTTCATCGTAATTATTTACTGCAAAAATATCACAGGGTGAAGCTTACCTCAATATCGCACAGGACATCGTTGAATTAGACGTAAGCATGATAAAAACGCTTCACGTCTGTCTTTTCCGAGTGCGGGAAATCAATTGTGACGTCACATGAAAACATTAACATTCAAAATTATCTAAATAGAGAGAATCTCTGCTTCTAAACACGAAAATATATCAATTAAATAAATCTGCTTCAGAACTTTATTACGATACATTAACTGTGTCCCGTTTATTATGAAATAATTTAATTTCACTTGTATCAAGCAATTTCATTGGCTGAATCATTCAGAGGAACATAATATTTTGGATAACATAACTTGCCTACGTCTCAATGAGTAACGTCAAAAATGTATTACTCCGCTTGACGGTACTTTTAAAATAATGCTCAATTTGAAGTCTTTTTCCGGAGGTAATATTGACTCATTGTCTACACTAGAATTAAATTATAAGGAATGAAGCTAATTTCAACTTGTGTTATCCGATATAACAAAACTTGGGGCAGTTTACGCTTTTTTATAAACCGCTTCGCGGTTTATAAAGCGTAAACTGCCCCAAGTTATGTTATATCGGATAACATAAGTTGAAATAAGCTTGATTCCTTAAATAAAATCAAAGTACTCAGAAGTACAGAGAGCCGGGCTCATTTACAGAGTAGAATGGATTTCTTACATGAATCACGTTTATATTCTGATGAAAAAAATTATTTTAAAACAATCAATATTAATCATAAGACACCGACAGTGAGTTTTTCAATCCTAATACCACGGTCCGATTTTGTCAGAATCAAAATTAATCTGGTACCGCAGCTGAATGTAAACAAACAGGCCAGTCTGGTTCCCTCTCCTGCTTTACCTCGTATGTGTAGAGAACTACGGTAACACTGATTATCAAAAATCCTTACGCTAATGAACTATGTTCTTTGACTTATGAAGTTTTCAAAGTCATTACTACTAATGTTTATTTTATATAGATAAAACTTCGTTTTATTTTTGTTGCTTTATTTAGCGTTTGTATTATCTCAAAAGCGGTTGAGAGTAAGAACTATATTTTTGCACGTAACTTTAAAATGGCGACTATGGGGTCAACATCCTGCCTTGAACAGGATCACATAAGCCGGCAATTGCTCTTTGAGCAATAAGCCCGGCTAATGATCACAACGGGTGTGTGTACTTGATCTCGCTGCACTGAGAATTCAAACACTACGTCTATGACGTCACTGACGTCAGACTGCAGGGTAAAGAGAAACAAATGTGTGGATTGGGCAATTTCACAATATCTGAATGATGCCAAGATCTTTAAAAATTTTATTGATAATAATTTCTAAATAAAAATTAAATATTTAAAAAACAATTTTAGAATTTAGAATAAAATTACTCAAGAACTGTTGATTTTAACAACGTTTAACATGCATACCATCACCGATTATGACGTAATATGTCTTTTTAGTCATGTGACATGTGTCCTGTCTCCCCTTAAGTCAAGAGCAAGATTAAAGTTTTTTTTTGCAAGCAAATTGGTAGATGGATAGACAATAACGTTTATTTTTGGTGATGAGTTCAGGGAACAATTATTGTGAATTTCATTATCCCTGTACCCATGAGTAATCAATATAACGCAAATTTTCTGACATTTTTCTCAAATCGTTTGCATGATCATCAGGCAATGGATCCCTGTATGTCTATGTGAAAAGGATGATCGGAGATATTGATCAGCAATCGATCTAAAAAATGCAATAACAATAAAAATCGATGAACAGTACATAAAACACGAATCAGGTGCCTAGGAGGAGTAACCAATAAGCCCTCTGTATTTATTAGGAAGATAGAACAACCCGTAGTCAAATTTAGTGCCTATATTAGATTGTATCTACTAACAAAGTCAGTAACTGTATATTGACCATAAAATTTACACGGAGTCATTAAACGGGAAGCTGATGGAAATCCCTGTAACATATCATAACCTTAAACTATATCTGAGAAACACGCCTCAGTTTAAGAATCGATGGTACTCAATTCAAGTATCTGTTTATTAAATAAGTCAAGAGGCACCATATATACAAGTGATAGTGGACTATTTTAGCATACAAAAGAAAAAATGAAATGGTGGATTGATTGTATATTGTTTAACGTCCCTCTCGAGAATTTTTCACTCATATGGAGACGCCACCACTTGCCGGTGGAGGGCTACAAATTTTGTCTAATGCTCGGCACTCAGGGCAAAACTGGTATCTAAAATCATCTTGTTTGCCATACGGTTTAGCTGTTAAATGGCCTTTATCGTCTATAGTCAATAAAATACCGGTAGATCAAACAGATTTGGAAGTTCTGATGTGTCTTTTATATCATGTTTATTGGGACAATGAAATGGTTAATATATGTTTATTGATAATACGCCATCTGAATGAGGAAATGAAAGCCTCAGCAAGTATTTTCTTTCCATGCATACATTTATATAAAATTCATTCTCCGCAGAAATTTTAAAAAAAAAAGGTCAACTAATAATAAAAAATAATTGTGGCCATCAGAATTCAAACTTATGATGGACAAGGTGTTCAAAGACTATAAACTGGTTAATGGTAGCAATGACGAACTCAAGCATCCTTTAATATCAACTTCTGAGTATTGTGTATAGTTTGATTTAGTGAAAATGGAAGGATTTATTCTTTTTATGTAGCTTTTAAATATCATTTAACGATTATTTATATATATATTTAAATTTCATTTGTATCAAGCAATTTCATTGGCTGAATCATTCAGAGGAATATATAATATTTTGGATAACATAACTTGCCTACGTCACAATGAGTTACGTCAAAAATGTATTACTCCGCTTGACGTTACTTTTAAAATAATGCTCAATTTGAAGTCTTTTTCCGGAGGAAATATTGTCTCATTGTCTACACTGGAATTAAATTATAAGGAATGAAGCTAATTTCAACTTGTGTTATCCGATATAACAAAACTTGGGGCAGTTTACGCTTTTTTATAAACTGCTTCGCGGTTTATAAAGCGTAAACTGCCCCAAGTTATGTTATATCGGATAACATAAGTTGAAATAAGCTTCATTCCTTAAATATTTCCAAAAATATAATTCAAAGTGTTTCGTTCTTCTTTTCATGTTTAATCACAAGTGTGGCATAATCTTTGCCAGAATTTATAAAAGAAATCATATTCTGTCGCCAATTGAAATACTCGGGGCCTTGTATTTAGAGCGTTTTAAGATGTTCATTTTAAATCAGATGTTGTGTCCACCTGGACTGTAGTTAAAAGAGAAGAAGAGCATGAGCACGTGAGAGGATTTTGTTTCAAATGCTCAATATCTGGACACTGAAAAATTTTGTTCAGCTAAAATGTTTGAAATAAAGAATTTGGTTTTATTTTTGGAAATGCAAGATGCAGATTTCAACTTTGAATATGGGGTAAATACATGTCTGCATTTTTTATGATAAAGTATATTGCATATATTCTTTTTTGGCAAAAACTCGATTAGGAACCGACGAGTTCAGTAATAATTATCTTTCGACACAGTGGTAGCCTGTGCCTGGCATTACCAGTATTTATTTCTTAATATTAGTTTGTATTATACAGACGAAGAATTGCTTAAGCTTTTTAAGCAAGTACAATATTTCAAACGTATGACTTGACATACTCGTGCTGAGTGAAGAATTTTTTTTTTGGTTTCCAAAGAAACAATAAACAGATCTAGAAAAATATACATATGCTTTTTCTTTTATTTTTATTTTATAAAGAATACACATCACAAAACGTGAATGCAGGGATCAGCATGTTCTACAGCTTATCTAGATTGTAAATGGTGCAAAATTGTTAAGAAAATGACTTTCTTTGATGTTCACGTTTCTTTTCTTTTTGTCCGGTAAAGATATGTACAATTTTTATTCCTTTATAGGAGATATTGATTGAAAAAAATGCAACTTTACAAAAATATAGTATTAAAATATAGTGTTTAGATTAGAATTAATATAAGATTATTTTATACATTGTTTTTGACCGAAAAAGTTTTTTTTTTTTCATTCCTGAAGCGCATGGAAAAACAATAACCAATGTGGAGTTGTCTTTCGTTGATCCTTCAGATGTTTTACGTTAAAACTTTTTGACAAAACGTGATAAAAAATAATCTTCCAAGTTAAAATAGTTAATATGCTTAATATGCTGACTATATATCTACCATCAAAGATATCAAGAAAGGGTACTTAGTATCTTATTGTGATAAAATAAATAACATTTTTGTGGACATATGATAGCAATATATAGTAGATAAACCTAGTTTATCTACTGTGAAACTATATTAAGCTAATTTTTGTGAATTTGTCGTGCCATATATTACATGTGTTATATGAAAACCTTATCTCTTCTCATTCAAAGGATATGACCAAGTTAAAGTTTTTGTGACGAACGGAGAGAACTACAGACTTACAGACGAATTATATTTAATGTACGTGTAACCATCGCTTTAGTAAAAGCGGGGAATAAAAAGAGTTTTAATGTAAAAGCTTTTGAATGATCCCATTTTTAGGTTTGTATAAAAGGAAGTTATGATAGTTTCCATTAAAATTAAATTGAGACACATTCATAAAGATAACTACAAAATTATTTTAATAAATCATGGGGAAGTTAACCGAAGTGGATAAAAAATATAACCGAGGTATCTTTAAAAACAAAATTATAACTTTTAAAGATAATTCCTGAAAAGTTGAGATTAAAGTTGTGAGGGGTTAGTGTTCTTTACAGTGTACAAGAACACAGAAGTGCACATTATAGTACTTTAAAACAGTGTGATCTACAAACCCATGAGGAAATAAACAGTGACTGTCTTAATAGGGATGGAAAAATTAAAAAGAATAATCAGGTAGGGTTTAAAAGAACATTGTCAAATTTTTTCTTAGCAGTCTCGTTAAATATAAAAAAAATGTTTCTTTGTGTGATTATTTTTTACGATTAATATGATGAAATTTATATTTCCCTCTCCCGCCCCGAATTTATTCTGTTTTTGTATATGGTGAAAAAAGTCTGTTAATGAATTATATAGGTCCTAGTCTCTCAGTTTTCTTCGAATCTTGCTAAAGGAGCCCTGCTGTGGTTAATGTTTTCATAATCTTTCTTGTCGTTAAAAGAAAACATTATAAACGAATTTGTAAATTTTTAAAAGAGGTATTTACATGCAAGAACAAAAAAAAACATCGATTTGTATGTAAAAAACTGATGGCTGCATGTATCATATACTGGATGAACTGGAGTTCGGTGGAATTTTTCATATCTTCTTCGCTCTTGGGTATTTAACAGACAAATGTATTCAGAATTTAGTCCCCTGTATTGGGCATGATGTTCATATTCTGAAATATTTATATTCTTTTTTTGGTGTTAGATTTTTAGCAGGAATTCTAATTCTGATAAAGAGTTAACTATGGATATGCCTCGAAATACCAAACTTTACCTAAAGACAGTACTGTTATACGTTGAACATATTTTGAATAAAAAAATAGCTAAACATCGGAGGAGGGGGGGTGTATTTCCTCTCTTTATCAGAGACCCGGGGGACAATCTGTTTCATGCTCTCCGTGATTGCTGACTGACGTAATTTGTCTTTTTTGATTGAATAGTGGCGGATTTTCCCCCCATACAAATTTGTACATGTTAGTTATTATACACACTGAATTTTTCTTGGATTTTTCCGTTTACCGATCATTACATGGAGCATACTGTGGGTGTGTCCTTTGACAGGCAGTGCTTACTATTATTGTTTGCAGTTAACTGTAAAGGTTTACGTAACATCACGATCTTTTTCGTCAGATGCATCCAGAGTAAACAATTCACGTGATTGATCAACTCATATTATCAACATTGACACGGAAATAGTCTGTAGCACGAGCAACCAATCAGGGATAAGAAGAAAGTTCCAGTCGTGAAGCTTGCGGTTAGGAGGCGTGTACTATTTACCTTGAGCGCATCTATCAAATAGAACGTGACGTAACGTAAAACTTTTAAAACAGTTAACTGCAAACACACTTGATACCACCTCTGATATTTATTAAAAGATCCCTTTGCTCTGCTCCAAAGTTTTATCATATGCCATTGGACCTAATTACTGTTGATTACCTTCATATTTCATTCGAACTGAGCCTGTAGTGATCATAATCTGAAAAAGGAACTTGTAATGATCAGTTGATCCTCCATATTATTCCAGTTTATTTCAACGTTATGTAAATGAAAAAAAAAAATATCCTATATAATAGAGTAAACAACATCACGCTATCTTGTGCTGACTGTTACTACAACAGATTTGCGTCAAGTAGCCATTAGTCCTCGACCTTTAAGTCCACTTTCGTAGAGTTGATATTTGAAATGTTTTCATCATTGAAATGACAAATCCATCTTGGAATATCCTTGTGATTTGTGTGCGTACTGACACCTTAAGCTTGCTTGTTTTTTAAATTGAAATTTCTTTTTTGCTGAAAGAAAGTAAAATAGTATATACGTTGAAATATATAAACATTTACATGAAATACGAAGATAACGAACATTATTAAGGTCAGACGACACGTTCCTTAATTATATGTTTTGTATCTCTTGGTATTCTATCAAAAATTTTTCATATTTGTCATTCTTTTCTGATTTCTACATTGTTTTCAAAATGTTTTTAAATATAGGTACACCAAAAATTGTGTTGATAATGTTAAAGGCAATTTAGAAGATTACCCATAAGGGTTATATAAGAAATATGACCCAATGGTATCTTGGCTAAATGCCTGGTAAGGTACCTTAATTTTTTGTGAGGAAACTTGTTTAAGTACCTATACTTCAATGACAAATTCTTAGGAAAAATTATATATTTTTGAGGAACGTGTCGTCTGACCTTAAGGATAATTAGTCCATGCAGATGAAAAAATATGTAACAAAAAGGGGAAAAAATTAATAAACGCGTCCGAAATGCATTTAGGGAATACCGGTATGTTTGATAAATCTGAACAATTACTTTGTGGAAATGCTACATGAATTCAGAACTTACAGCAGTTGCATATTTTCTGTGGACTTTTAACCGTGGTCCCTCTAGATGCCTTCTTACCAGAAAGGAAAAGACTTGTAACTGATCATGAGGACAGAATCATTTTAAAAGACCCTAAATACAGAGAACCCAGAACTTTCAAATAGCATCAGAACTTCATTTTTTTATGAATTCTATCGCAGATTATATCAACCATCGGGCGAAATATGAAGAGGAATATTTTTTTTCAGAATGGTTGAGTGTTTTAAAAAATATATTAGAGGTACCGTGTACAAGAAATTAAAAAAAAAAAAACAGTATGCCCATCTTCCATCTTTCCGTTTTCAATCAATCAGAGTTTATAAAAGAATAAGAAAGACTATATAAACAATATGTTGTATTTCTAGCAAATTTAAGCAAACAAGGCTTGTAACAATGATGCCTCAGTTTCAGTTTGTTCCAAGACTCATTGTTACAAATGGATTTTAGAGGAAACTGCTTTATAGAAACATAACTTTTGCTTACAGTTCACTTTCTAAGGATAATATAAAATATTTAGAGATAACAAACATTATTCAAGCTCATAAGTCCATAAAACAGTATAAAACAGGAGCAGAGCAAACACGGACCTCCAAAACATCAGAGATGGGATCAGATAACATGGAGGAGTGAGCATCCCCTTCCGACCAGTCACACCCGCCGAGTGTTCCTTGTCATGATCGTAAAATAGAGGGAAGATTCGTCGTTAATTCAGTGTGTACCGTAAATGATAGACTTTCAATTTGGGGAAAAAAAATCAGTCAGCATTTGACTCGATGATAAATTGTATCTTTTAACACTATCTTTGTATCGACCATAGAACTTACGAAAAGATGACTTTCTACTAGACTGATGATATTCTTGTTTTATCAACTTAATAGTATCTTTAAAATTACACATAAGTCTTTTATATATGTACTTTTAGAATTTGAGTCAACGAAGGCGAGTTTCATTTAGTCTAAATATGCATGTATGGTATTCCTATCATTCATAGAAAATCTTTCAAACAAAGATATATGTTCATTGTCAGGTTCAGCAAATATTCTACAAAACATTTTTCTAGACTCCTCACAAAAATATTAACTGTTGTAAAAGAAAACTTTTAGACGTACTGTACCACAACACACTAGTATTCAAGAGATGGTGTAAGTTAGATTTTCAAATGAGGATTTTCAAAAACTCAGAAACTTTCAGATCATATAAATCTCTATTTTTCTTTAAATCAGTTAAATCAAAGCATAAGATATTCTACACATTTGACAATCATTCCTCGCAGTAAATGAAAAAAATTACAAACAAATGAGTTCGGTTTTCCATATTAAATTTCTTTATTTATGAAGTGATATTCCATTGTAAGCTGTGTGTGGTATTAAAGTTTCCCAACAATTCGATATATTTCGAACAATCAATCCTTAGACTATGGCAGGCTACTGACAAACACGTTATTGATACAGGAATATCAACTTCTTCCTTCGTTGAAATTCAACACATTGAAAATTTCTAGGGTCGTTATGGCCTTTCTAAGAAAATTTACCTGCCACTGGGTCGTTTTCTGACTGATATTTCATACCAACTGAAATAACTTATTTAACGCTTAATTTGCCCATGGAATATTTTCTCTCTACCTGATAAATATATAGGTCTCGGCTCGGGTGTGACCGGTGGACAAAGGATTACTCCAAAGGTGAATTGTTCACAATGAAAATGCATTTCACTTCTCTTCTAAGACATAAATATTATTCGGTTAAATAAACATGTACCGTGAAAGTGCTCCAAAATTCAATATAGCCCCAAAGTTTCATTGACAAATAGGATGTTAGCTGTTTGATGACTAGAATAAAGATTTGATCCTCTGCCAGAATTTTGAAATGTAATTCCTATGATTTGACCCTACAGTGAAAGGGAGATGGAATTTTTTTTAATTTACAAAAAAAATCAAAAACGGAAGTATGGTAACATATTTCTGCCCCCTACATGCAAGATGAATTAAATCAACATGCAAGAAAAATATGTGAACATGCAAGGTTATTATGTCTACATGCAAGATAATTATGATAATATGCAAGTTGTAAATCCTTTTAGAGGATATTATTTTAATACAGGTATATTAACTTACCAACGCCAGTTCAAATTATATTTTCTATTAGGATTGCATGTCAACGTAATTATTTGCATAAACATGTTGACATAAATATGTCGCATGTCAACATAATTAATTAGTTGGATATTACCTTAATTTATCTTGCATGTAGGGACAGAAATATACCACCATACAGAAGAAAGTTTAAGCAACTTCAGGAAACTAAACAGAAAAAAAGATCAAATTGTTGGTTTAAAATGGTCATATTAAAATGACCTTATGCAAAATGAAATAAAATTTATTCCAAGGAATGGTGTGCATACAATTCTGTGATAAAAATTATCCAGTGTTTGTTCTCAATCCATTTACCAAACATAGTCATGATGTTTCTAAGCATTATTGTGTATAATTTATATTTTCAGAATATGAAAAATGAAAATGCATACGTGTTTGTTTATTCTCATCTTGGCCGAAGGTAAAACTGTTAATACCATTTTCTTTCTTTCTTTTTTTGTCTTTTTCTTTTGTACTTTTTGTATTTTAATCTATTTTTAATTATTCATTTTTGGACTACGATGAAAAAAATCTTGTTTCTCCTAAACCACTCTAAAAAATAAAACAAATAAAAAATTGTTCTCTTCACACACATAACCTGCAAATTTTTGTCGGAGAATAAGAAGGGGAAAACGGAACATAATACATATATTTTGAGAAATATCACTGTGAAGACATGTTCCTTACATTGAATTTAAAATAAATGTTAAGCAATTCTCATGAGGGACGTTAAACAACAAACAATAGAATGGAACTATATTTAAAATCTTCAATATCATGTAATATTAACTATACATATAATTATATACTCATATTCAAATTTTATCCATTTTCAAGCAAATGCACTGCATACATTCTTACTTTTATTTGATATACAAACTATACATGCCTTCAAAATGTTCCTTTACCATTGCTCTGATGAGTAAGTGCGTAACCAACTTTAACTTAACCAACTTAATTAAATAGCACGATGTTTAGTACAATGTCTCCAAAATGTACACTGGTGAGATAACCAAACCACCCCTCACCCTTTCCAAAAAAGTGTAAATGTTTATTAATCATCGTCCATTAATTATCGATTTATAGATATTGAATGCCTTAGTAAGGCAAGCTTTTTGAAAAGCTATTGTATACCTACAAAACTTGCATTTAACTTTACTTCCAAAATAACGGCACAAAACTATCCATTAATTGATTGATTGTTAATTAATGTCCCTCTCCAGCTTTTTTTTTTTTAACTCAGATGCCACCACTTGCCGGTGGAGAGCTGCACATTTTTGTCCTTTGCTCGGCACTCAGGGCTTCAAAGAGAGTACGATGATCACATTTAAAGAAATATTGACAAAATTAACATCCGTAGCAAAAAATAAATTTTTTTTAGATATTTTAACCCATCCCTCTTTCGATTTATAAAGTCACATGGTAAATTCAGTGTTCGGATTATATTTTTCAAAAGTAGATCACGGTCAAGTGCAATATGTTGTAAGTTTTTTTTTCCCGCTTTCACTGCAAGGGGGGATATTAATTTGTTCTGTCCGTCCGTCTGTCTGTCTGTAACGCTTCGTTTCTGCACGATATCTCGAAAACCTTTGAGCTTTCGGAAATTTTGCATAGTAACTCCCTTTGACCTAAAAAAGAACCCTATTAATTTTTAGGTCAAAGGTCAAGGTCAAAAGTTAATAAATGCTGTCTGTTATAACACTCTCGTTTCCGCGCGATATAATCTCGAAATCCTTTGAACGTTTGCAATGAAATTTTACACAACAACTCCATGTGGCCTAGGGAAACCCCCTATTGATTTTGAGTTTAAAAGGTCAAAGTTCAAGGTCGTAAAGAGCAAGATCCACTTTGGGCCTTATTTGGCCCTGAGAAAAATCAAAACCGCTCAGTTTAGGTTGCAAATTCAGTATTTATCACTTGGAGTGTTGGTGACCACGTATCTATTAATCGTGACGTGATTTCCCATCTAGTCAATGCATTATGACGTCATAAAATGCGACATTTTCCTCATATCATGTAAATTCCTTTGAAAATGACCTAAAGTCGAAGCATTTTTTCAATATTTTATATAGAGCACAACCTCTGATCCAAAATATGCAAATACAAAATGAAAGCTCTGTTTCTGAAGATCAAAAAACATGTTTTATTTTTTGGATCGTGGGCTATGCTCATATTTTACTTCTTTGCTGAAGGTAGTCAAATACGCATGTTTTCTGCAAATTTCAAGAACAGTGCAATTTCTCAAACCTGTTTTCCAATATCTGGATTCTCAAAACAAAATTTTATTATGGTAAATGATAGCACCAAGTGTCTACTTTATTTTGATTTATGAAATGGGAAAGAGGGTGATAGTAAATTAATTGATATAAGTACAGGGTCATTTTATCCATAAGATGGCTCTTGCTCTTTATCCATTCTGTTTGTTTGTAACACTATCGTTTCCGGGCGATATTTCAAGAAGATTTTGAGCTTTTGCAATGAAATTTTACACCAAAACTCCCTAGGGTCTCTCTCTCACCCCTCTCAAAGTGTCCCGACCCGTTTGTTTTATCAGAATTTATTTATACAGGGAAATGACAACAATATGTTTGTTTTAACCTTTATTTTTGCGAACATTGGTCGTGGCAAAGTATTTTGTGGGATGCCAATACACACAGCTTTGGGGCAACCCTCACAAATTCAGCAAAATTCATCAACATAAACAAGTCATATGTTAAAAAATGACAACCGCGGATTGTCACTCATTTAAGGTTACTTATGTAAGTGTAAGTAGTTATATGCACAATTCAAGCACAAAACAAAGTAGATCAACATATAAACAAATATTTTACATATAAAAGGCTTCAACACTTCAACCCCCTTCACAGTTCAATGATGACAACTTCACAACAATACAAAGTTTATGTAGGCCTCAGTTGCTTTGGTGTGCGCAAACGCCCCATGACAGCGAACAACCGAAGGAGAGTTCGCAGTCATCCCACAGATGGGGGAGCACTCAAGCAACTGATAAAAGAGCCCCTCTTAGACCATTGTTCTTATAGCATTGTTTAAGGACGCATATTGCCTTGTTCCGACAGGAAGAATTCTAAACCCCCTTGAATACTAGTATTATTAAGAAAGAGTTTGTTTCCTAGCGCATTGAGATGTACCCCATCTGACAGCAGAAATTGTGTCATGTGTTTCAACAAATCAGGGTACTTTATGTAACAACCCCCCAATTTTAAAACTAATGAAGCAGCTACCCTTTGGCTTTAAGACGGGATCGCCCCATTGCTCTGTTGTCCCCCGAGTACCTCCATTTATTTCGTGGCAGCATCTGTGACCAGACAAGTATGGACTGTGGAAGGCAAGCCTTAATAATCTTTAGATGGATTTTTTTCTCAATGAGTGTATACAGATCAATTGACCCTATATCGGTTGCCCAACAGTGAATAACCAAAAAGTCTGGGGATTCCTCGTATTCTGTCAGAAAAACGAGCTTTCTTTCAAGTCCCAAAAAATTCAAACATGAATGTCCTTGCCACCACATACATGTATTCATTTTCAATCTATCTATCCTATCCAAGTTTTGTTCCCCCTGGTCTGCATATTGATACCATCATTGCATTCTTAATAATTAATTATAGAGGAACCCACACACCGCACTTTAACTTCAGGGACTTTTAAAATTTATGCAATAAATTAGAAGAATTTGAATAAATCTTGTTACTAGTATATTTACAAAATTACAACTTATTTGCCCCCAATATCTGCCCAATAAGACATCTTATGTATGATTTGTATGCCCTAGACTTTCAATGCCCTGCTTCCATTTTGACATCTTGTAAGCAACCCGCTTCAAATACTGCAGTGGCTGTCCTTATACGAAATGAATGGGATCTTTTATGTCCATGAATCCCCAAACCCTGAAGTGATTTTTCAAACGGAGAACTGATACCTAGTAAGGGAATTTTTTTCATTGTGGATAAATAATGGCCCTTTAATTTTTGGTATAACTGCAAGATGATATATCAAACTTGCTACTGAACACAGCATTCCCTCACTTTTATCAATGGCTAGAGAAACCCCCTTCCTTTCCTGATCACATTGTATACAAAGACCTTGGAGTAATTGGCTTGAAATTGAACATCAGTCACATTTAAAATTGTATAAACACTATTACAAGTAGACAATGAGAATTCCCCTATTCTGAGAAAACCAAAAAAGGTTAAAACATAGGCAGCTATGAACAATTTAGTTTCATAACTATCGCGACAAATGCTCGGTAAACCCCAACAAGGTTTGTAAGCAACTGCAAGGTTAAAGGTAGCCTTGCATCTGCAGACCTAACAGTTCTTCTCATACCCTCAACAAACCAGAAAGTGCTTTGTTTCATGAACCCAATTACGAATTTTGCATTAAAAACTAATAGAAGATAGGTAAGATTTAGCCGAAGCATTGGAACACTTCTTAAGCGACACACAAGCAACAAAGTGAACAACATCCCTAAGCGGTGGGGGCCATGGATTTCATACCCAAATTCTTTCCGGAAATTATAAAATGAATTTTGCCCCGTTTCGTATGCCGTCTTAGTGTTGTAATAGATTGAAGAATCTAGCAATTTATTCATTTGAATCTGTAAATCATGTTGACTAATTCTACTGGAAGAGGGTCTGGTCTGGTGTTTGTGGTTTAAACATATTTTATTGAGAAATTCAATCAGGATTGGGCAACAGGCAATGCCTATGTACACCCTCTCCTTGTATAATAGGTCAAGATAGAATAGTAGGTAATAATACATGAACATGATAATCAATAAAATTATAATGAAAAATATAGATTCACAATCAAGTATTATTTATCAATATTATATCTAAAAAAAATGACAACCCCCTAACTGTATACACATTATTTACATACCGTTCCAGCTTAAAAATAATACAAATATTTCAAAAAAAAAATTATGCATTTAATAGAATATTTAATAAACAGTGTCCCTAATTTAGTCTTTTAGAAGATTTAATAAATTCTTTTACATATGAAAATATTTTACAATTTGTTTGATAAGAGTATTGACATTTTCCTCTTAGTAGAGCGTCGAGCTCGAAAACAACATCAATATCATTTAATTTTTTTACCAATATATTTCTTTCAACATTATACGATGGGCAGTTGATAAAATAATGTTCAGTATCTTCAGTATGAAATCCACACTTTTGACATGATTGAATATCTGATAAAAAATGATTTTTTAAATGTGCATCAAGATTACTAGCATTGTTTCGCAACTGACAATGCAAGATATTTTCTTTTCTATTACCAAAGTTAAAGTACCTACAAGGTTTATTAGTTGCACCCCAATTCTTAAGCTTTGCTTTAAAGATAGCTAATGAAGGAGAGTTTTTTACATCTTCACTAAGACTGTTCGAAAGTTTTATACTT